CCTTAAGAGCAGGTGTGTTGGTGTGCTGCCTGATGGTGTTTCATTAGAGCTAGCAAAATTAAGTTTTTTCATTTTCTAATTAAGAAGTCACTGTGGTGTTTAAACAGCTCTTTCATCAGCCTGAAAAGCACTGGCTTCCTTAAAATGCCTTGCATACCTCACAGCCTGGCAGCCAGAATTGTCATGGTTCTCGATCTATGATCCAGCGTTTCTTTGTTCCCTCTTGGTATTGTTTCGTTTCCTTGTTCTTCTTAGTTTAGTCATTTGTATTTCTAGGCCTTTGATTCTTGCTCATTTAGTCTGTTCCCTGTCATGCTCTGGTAGTCTTGGTGTGTTCTCCCAAGCCCATCATGTCTCTCTCCCTTTCTGTGTCCCCCACTGTCTCGCCCTCTCTGTCTCCTCAGTCTGTCTTGTTCCCAAGTCTGTTTCTTCCACAGTTCCAGTGTCAAGTCTTAATCTGCGTCTAAGGTTTATTTTGACAGTTTCCTGTCCTTTGTTCAGTGTGATTAGTTTAGCTTCCTCCCTGTCTTATTGTGTCTGATTACTTCCAGCTGTGTTTCCTGCTGTTTCCCATCCGCTCTTTATCCTCTGTCGTCTGCTATTCCCTTGTTATTCCTAATTAGTTCCCTGTTTCCAGTTTCCATATTTGATTTTTGTGTTCATGTATTTAGCGATTGGTTTTTTTGCACAGGCAGTAAAGCGGCCTCTTTAAGTTGACCTTTTCATTTGGGTCCTACCTCTGTCTGCCGCTAGTGAATCCTTGACTAACATACAATAAAGCTTAATGTTACTTGATATCAGTGTTGGTAAGCTGAAGCTGAAGCTGTTATCAATACAAATGATTTCTTGGAATAACTTTTACTTATTACTATATGAGCTCATCTTGTAAAGAGGGATGTACTGCTTTTGCCATATAATGTCACATCCTTATAGTTATAGTGTGTACATTCTCACTGACTCCAGGTTATTTCAGCTAAATTCTGTTTTCTTGCCTCTCCCAATTGCAGTGCATAGTCCTAGCTGTGGCGGCCACTGTAAGACTAACATGTTTAAGAGAGATGAAAAACATGACTTTTTTCTATCAGTTAGTATAGAAAACCATTTTGTATGCACTGTATTTTAACATATTCTTTTAATATAAACACTTAGGGGGAAACCCTGAACTTTTCTTTTGACAAGTGCAGCTGTTTTTGCTGCTGTTAGCTCCTGTTAACCTCCGATAGCTGCTGTTAGGCTCTGTTAGCTGCTGTGAGCCAGTGTTAATTAAACTTTCTTTGAAGTTGGTCTTACATTGTTGGACTAGGATACTTAATAATAAAATTATTAAATCACTGTCATAACTATTCCACAGGTTAACTCCTCTAACAGAAACACATCTCTGCTTTATATTTGTCCTTATCTTGTTTTTTTTTAAAGAAATCTGTTCCCCTTAAGTCATATTGACTCTCTCTGACTTTGAACAGCTTCTGAGTACTGTGGCAAAGCAAGTTATTTTGTGCTTTATACATTATCTGTGCCATTTTATATTCAACTAAATCATAAAATTTCAGGGTATTCAGATTAATAAACAAAATGTTAGTTGGTTCTATATAGTTTGATTGGTTTATAATTCTTATAGCTTTTTTTTGTAACTTGAAAATATGAAGAGTGTTCGTTTTATATGCATTACCCCATATCTCCAGATAGTAAGTCATATATGGAAGCAACAGAGTACAATAAAGTGTGTATAATGTTTTTTTGTTCAGGACATGCTTTGTTTTATAGAGAATAGCAATGGTTTTTGACATTTTTGTTTTCACATGGTTTATATGAGACCTCCAGCTCAGCTTATCATCAATTATCACTCCAAGAAATTTATTTTCGTACACTCTTTCAATTTCAATTCCATTAACCCTTATTTTAGAAACATTTTTCATTGGTCTAGTGCCAAAAATAATCAATTTTGTTTTCTTTATATTTAATGATAACTTATTTACATCAAACCAGTTTTTTAATATATTTAACTCCTTTTCCGCTGTAGTCAGAAGCTGTTCTAAGTTTTTACCTGAGCAGTACAGAGTGGTATCATCAGCAAACAATACACATTTTAACAGTTTGGAAACATTACATATATCATTTATATATAATATAAATAATTTAGAGCCCAGCACAGAGCCCTGAGGAACACCACAAGTTACCTTCAACTGCTTAGATTTTACATTATTGAATTCGACATATTGATATCTTTCATCCAGGTAACTTTTCATCCACTTGTATGCTATCCCTCTTATGCCATATCTCTCTAGTTTATTTATTAATATAGAATGATCAATTGTATCAAACGCCTTTTTTAAGTCTATAAAAACACCAACAGTATATTCCTTATTATCTATTGCATTAGATATCCCTTCAACAAGTTCCATCACTGCCATTGAAGTGGACCTTTTCACTCTAAAGCCATATTGGTTATCACTTAGGAGATTATGCTTCTCAATATATTTATCAAGTCTATTAACAAATAACTTTTCTAAAATTTTTGAGAACTGTGGGAGTAGTGATATTGGCCTATAATTGGTAAACTGACATCTCTCTCCGTTTTTATGGATTGGAATAACTTTTGCTATTTTCATTTGTGAGGGAAACACACCAGTTTGAAAGGACAGATTACAAATGTATGCGAAAGGTATGATGTTCAGTTGGTGCACAGAGAAGTATCCAACTTCGGTAAGCCCGTGTGAACTGTAGCCAGTGTTTTGTGTTCTTAGTTGACAGGAGTGGCCCCTGATGTGGTCTTCAGGCTGGCTTAAGAGTCGACATGTTGTGTGTTCAAAGAGGTTGAGTTACTGTTGAACAATTCGACATTTACCATGCTTTTCCTCCCATGGTAGGCCAAGGTACCTGTTGGTCAGTTACAACATGAACTGTGATTGTTTGTGGATGCAAAGGGTGGAGAGGACTTGCATTAGATGCAGCATGAAGGGATGCAGCCTTTTCAGGAAACCCATCCCCCTCTTTCTTTTCCCATTCTAGCTTCGTGCGTGTTGCCTGTAGAGCAGCAGTCAGATGGCGGTGATCACACAAACATGGGATTTGGCCAACAGATTACTCTGGAACACAATGGATGGCTGGCGAGGATCAAGCCCCTGCTAAGGCTTTCTTTTTATATTATCTTCACACACACACACAAAAAATGCTCCTCATTACAGTCTACTCAACCTCTACGTGAAAATTACCCATTGTATGAGAAACCGGTGGGCTGGATTTCCCCTGACAGCCTCCATTTGAACTCTTCCCGTATGCTTAATAATCACAAACCATGAACAAAGACCACGACAAGGAGATAGGTAGGTAAACAAGGGTTTCAAATGTTTAATTCATTTTAATATCACTGGCAAATATAAATTGCTGCTCAACGATTCATTATCAAAGGGGGGCTGTTTCTCCCCTCTCTTACATTTGAAGAGATTTCCTTAGAAGACAGTGTCCAAATTCTCCAATTTCTTAAAAAGTTAAGTGCACAAACCTTAATGTTATTATTCAGCAAACAGACATTTCACCTTTCTGAGAAGAAAGGCAGGAGGTGACGACGATGTTCGATGGAGCCGTGACGAGGGGGTGTTGTCTTGTGTGTTTTGTGTCTAATGCGATGAGAGCACCACGCCTGAGACCCGTCACGAAGAAGAAAAGAAGGGAATGACCTTTGTGATGCACGTCGCTGTTGTCGTAAACACACTGTATGCGTCTGTTAGGCCGTAACAGGTGTGTCCGTTTTGAGCCGCTTTGTATGCAGGGATAAAAGTGTGCAAAAAAAGAAAAGAAAAGCCAAATATACACATGAACGTGAGTTTTCCCCTGATGTGGAAAGCTGTAGCTTAAACAACTGGTCTGACTGTAGTCTTGTTCTTTGAGAGATTCCACACCTGCTTCTTAAGGCAGATGCTGAGAGCACCAGGGTCTTTGTACTGGAAGTGAGAGGGGTGCGATGTGATCACTGACACATACAGTACACTGCCCAGCTACACACACACACACACACACACACACACACACACACACACACACACACACACACACACAGAGATTAGTGGAAGACAGAAATGAGACGATGGATGGGGAGGAGAGAAAAAAAAATGGTGGCTACCACAGAAAGACATTAATGCTCTTCTTCAAATAAAACAAATAAACAGAAACATGGATTTACAATGTTTTTAAAATCACCCACCCTCGACTACCAAAAAAATACATCTCTGAAGACAATAATGCAGTAAACTCACACACGTATGCACCGACAGATGGCATTACAGTGAACACACCTGCCCACTCACACCTACTTTTCAACACCCCCACCCCCCCACCTGGTTAGCGTGGCTGCACAGTCCCTCTCCGTTTGGACAAAAATAAGCAGCGTTCGACACTCAACGACTAAACAATCTCATATCTATTTTTCTGCTTTCCTTTTTTTTCCTCCTTTTTTTTGTGTTTTTGTGTTTTTTGGCGTACCATCATCATGCTTTAAACTGAGATCTGCAAGTGGCGCATGCACAACACGCAGGGAGCTTCTTTTGGCACCGTGCTGCTACGACTGCAGGGGTTGATAACGCGTACATTCAGAAGAAACGACAACAGATCTGCGCTCCTGTCCCTGCCCGTGATGACTGGGAACCACACGCGAAGAGGAGGAGGAGGAGGAAGAGGTGGGGTAAAAAGAAAAAGAAGAAGAAAAAAAATCTCACAAGGCTCAAGAGCCATTTTGTCTGAGGCACGGGCGTGGGGGAGGGAAAGGGGTGTTGGGAGGTAAACCGGCAGCGCCACTGCGCTTGACCCGGACACCGGCTCCTCTCGCTTTTTCTACTTTCTAATCATTTTCTTTTTTAAGTTCTTCAGTTTTTTTTGTCCCATTATCCTTCTCTTATGGGCTTCGAAAATGGCTAAAAGAAAAATCAGAATCAGCCACAAAGAAATCACTTCCTAGGAGCACCGTGCTGAATTCAGACAGACACTAAAGCCTCGAGGCACAAAGAGACATTTCTCAATATTTTATGGATTGACTAGGCTGTGCAAACAAACTACATATAGGAAACTCTCAATAAACCTCACAAGAAGAACATAAGCTATAACTAATTAAATAGATTGTTTTTGTATATTCATCTATAGATTTATCTAATAAATACATCTGCTGATAGACACTTCTTTCTGTAAACTATTTACATTAAAAGGTATATATTTCTGCTAAAACAATAATTAGCTATGAAGGCAAGGCGAGGGAGAGAAAACTGATTTAGTTTAGCTGTGAGCAGAGAGAAAGAGAGAGTGTGTGTGTGTGTGTGTGTGTGTGTGTGTGTGTGTGTGTGTGTGTGTGTGTGTGTGTGTGTGTGTTCCCGTTGAAAAGTCAAAGCCGACCATTTGTATTTCCTAGTGATTCGCTTCATCTCAAACTGGACTCTCTTCATAAATAACTGGTAGGAACATCCACTCGCAAACCAAAACAACAACAAGTAATGAAATAATGCTCTCAGCCTCACCTGCCTGTCTTCTTTACATAAGTGGAATGTGCTCTCAGTAGATTCCCTTCCTGTTTAATACCTGGTGAATGGGGCAGTGAAGAAGTAGTGTACAAAAACGTACCAACACCCGCCAGAGCGTACCAGTATTGGGCCCAGTGGCTGGTGTTCATAATATCCATGACAAGCACACATAAGAAAGGGATGATGTTTGAAAAAAATAAAATAAATGCCCTGTCATCAGAGAGCGGCATAAAAACAATCAAACCCACCCCTGAAAACCCTCCCCAGTCACAATCTCATGCTGCACAATTTTTTTTGTTTGTTTTTTTCTTTTTTGTCGGTTTTTCTGTTACTTTTTGCTCTAAAGGGCAGGCGTGGACAAAAGATTACAGGGCAGTTGCGAGCCTGCCTGCCAAAGCCCGAGTACTGAGGGACGTATTGCTGTCGACAGTTTAACATCACTCACACACACACACACACACACACACACACACACACACACACACGCGCACTCTAGTTTAGTGTCCGCAAAGTCTGCCGACTGACATGTTTTTCAAACACTCAGTTCATCTGGTGGCATTGCTGCCATGGCTGCAGCGGGAGGGTTGGGTGGGGCTTTGCTAAGGGACAGTGTTTGAAAAAGGTGATAGTTTTGTTTACAAAAAAAGCTATTTTAAGTGCAAAGTACCATGCACATACGGTCGACCGGTGAGCGGGGCGCAAAAGCAAAAAAATAAACAAAAAAAGCCCCGCACCATGTCAGCATCACACCTTTGGGAGAGATGGAGCGGTCTGTGTGTGTATGTGTGTGTACGTGTGTGTACGTGCGAGTTGATGTTATGTGTGTGAAGTATGGGTGAAATCTCATAAGTGCTTCCCATGGCTCTTGAGGCATAGAAAAAGAGGCAGTGGGACATTGTGTGGTAACATTCTCTGGCTGAAAGTTGTGTTCTGTTTTTGTGTTTTTTTTGTCAGATGGGGGTAGGGGTGGTTGGGGGGGGGTGGAGTGTCTTTGACGTCCCGCTCGTATTATCGGTGCGGAGCAGAGTGGGGGACACTCTAAAGACTGACCGCTGATGATGGGCTGGATGTCTTGGAGGTGTTGCAGTCTGAATGGAAGTCGGTGTGCAGACAGGAAGTCCGCGGAGGCCCAGCTGGAGGAGGGGCCTCAGACTTGGTCAGTCCTGGTAAAGAGGGAGGAAGAAGGGCAGGAAGGGGAGGTGAGGTCGGAGCGGGACCAAGGAGTGGTGAGGGGGCTGAGGGAAAGAGGTGGGTGCTGGGTCAGTGACGAGTGCTGTTTATAGGCTGCAGCCCAGCTGCTTAGCCTTCTCCTGAGTGTCCTGCACAAGCTGCAGGCTGGCGCTGGAGTAGCCCTCATCGCTACAGCTGCTGCGCAGGCTGCCTCTCTCGTCCCCTGAGTCGCTCACGCTGCTGGTGCTCCACTCCAAGTCACCCAGCAGGTAGTCCGTCCCCTCCACGTCCACATCCAGGTCCTCTGTTTGAACAACAAGAACACAAACACGACACCATTAAAGAGCTGAATGACAACTATGTCATATTATTCATCTACTCAAGTTTCTCCACTTATAGAGAGGATGTTATTATTACTAGTAACACTAATTAAACAACTAGTGCGAGTTAATGGTGGAACCTGTACAGCCAGCAGCAGCAGCAGCAGCTGGTAACTCCCTGCTCTGCACATCCTGCAAAAGCTCTTTTTTCCTGTATTTAAAATCCCCTTTAAACAACAGGGACAAAGCTACACAGCATAAGGGTGACACATGCACAGATCTGTTTTCATTTTAACCATTTAAAGGTTTTTGATTTTGCTCTTTTATTGAGTGACTTAATGCATTCAGGTTGTTTTATGTCATGTCCCTGTAACCCTGTCCAAATAGACAGAAAAAGAAAAGAAAAAGTGAACACTGACAGTGCTCATTTGTGCTAGGAGCACTGTCAGAGCTACAAATGACTTCCAAACAGGCCGCTGGAGTGAATGTGTCTGACCAAACAATCAGACTTCATTGAGCGCAGACTGAGGTTTCCCACTGGGCCTGGTGCTAACTACACAGGGCTGTGGAGCTGATTGGCATTTGCCATAGAGTAGCAGATTTGGCATGTCCACCACTGTCGCCCTGTGTGTTTTTACAGATGAGAGCAGGAGATCAGGGACGTCCTGGTCCAGACCTGGGAGGAAATGTACAGGACATCATCTGTTGTCTCATTAGAAGCATGCCCTGATATCATCAAGCATGCATATGATCCACAAACTATTACTTCTCCATGTTTCTTCTTTCCTCTTTTACATCATTTGCTTTGGAGGGAGGACATTAACCATATGACTAAACAACAATGAATGCCACATAAATGGCACTCAGTATAAACTGCTGGGTATCATTTGGAGTTGCTGCAATGACATTTGTCAGAACGGAGGCGTTTGATGCATAATTTTTTTTCACTTGGATTTTTGGGGTATTGTTAAATTGAGCGCTCTGTAGGTTGATCACTTTTGTTTGTATCAAGAAATGTAGCATCCTTTCATTCCTAACACTTTACCTCGTCCACATCAGTATAGATATCCAGAATGGTTTTTTCACATTAAGATCTGATGAGTGTGTTTTTATAAGCAGTGTATTTACTAAGATGCTTTACTTTGCACTGTGGAAGATTGTGTTTAGTGATGATGATGAAGACAATACCTGACACAAGAACAATAAAATGATGCCTATTCTGAACTTCCTGCACAACGGTTCACCTCCATATTTTTTTCATGTGCTTTGAGAGAATATTTGCCCGGAGGTTCCAGACATGAAACATGTGAAGAGTGACATGAATAAAAGCATGTGGTGGTAACAAAGTCGTCTGAGCTGGCCACAGCTCTGCCTGTGTGCAGCCTCACCCTGGTCAGAGTCGGACTTATCAGAGGACTGAGTGGAGCCGGTGCTGTCCATGCGGGTCCTCTCCACTCCCAGCTGCTCTAGACGCCTCCTCAGGTGTCTCCGCTCCCGTTGTAGCTGCTCCAAAGTGTGCTGAGCTTTCCTCTCGCCCTCCTCCAACCTCTGCAAGGAAGAAGGAGAGAAAACGGCCGCTTCATGAACAGCTCCTAATCTGCTCCTGTGTACGTGTCCACAGCAGCTTATCAGCTACTGAAACACGCAATTACTAACACACTCAGCAACCGCAGCGGTCAACAAATTGCCCTCTTCACACCGATTAGGTGAGTGGTGCATGCGCACATCCACGCACCTTGATGTGATCTTTGGCCTTCATCAGCAGGCTGAGGGTGGTGTGCCTGTTAGCATCTGGTCCCAAGGGAACGAGGGATTTCAAGCGCTCCAAACACAGTCGTAGATGTGCCCGTCTGAAGAGGAAAGATAAAAATGAAGGTGGAAGATGCTATTAAATGTACAGAAAAACAAAAAGCAAAAACAAAACAAGAAGGTAGGCCACTGAAATCTGAAAATCCCTGATAAAAACTAGTCTTTACCTGAGCTTTGAAAAGCTGAATGCAAATATCTTAAACTATCCTGTTTTTTTCTCTCTACAAGAAGTTCTACTCTTGTATTGAAATTGACCTTTTACTTAAAATTCACTTGGATGATTGGGCTTCAAGGACCTCAGATTTTTCACTGAGGGGAAACAAGCAACCTCTTAAAATACATCCAGGGGAGATTTTGTCTTCATACTAAGAGCCCTGAAAGGACTGTGTTTACATTTCTCCAAATACTGACAAATGAACAGGTGAATTATAACGGCAGCGTTTTTTGCCATCTTTTACTCTGACAAGCCTCGAATCAGTCTTGTGTCATTAGACTTTTCTAGGAACATGGGAAATAGGTGAAATGACTTATGCAAACGTGCAAACACACATGGAAATACAGTATATTAGGCAAAATCAGTGTTGGACAATTCTAATGAGTCTTTGGATGTTGGCTGCCTCTTGTTCTCTGCCAACACAATCCCACACTGCTTTAACAATGTTGGACTTATTATTGAAGTACTGGCCAATCCATGACTGATGGAATTCCATTGAGTTTTTCTATCCAGGTATACTTTTACTTCATTGGTAGCACGCATATTCTGAATGCTCACATTTAGACAAGTTTAACGGCAGTCTTAAAAAACACAACAAACCAAATCCTAAAGTGATGTAATATGTATCCATGACTACTGCACAGTGACATGGCCAGATAATTAGGACCAATTAGCATTTCTGCGCCAGACTGCTGTGAGGACAGGACTCTTTTTTTTTTTTTTCCTCATCTGTGGTATGTCTTGTCTCTACTTGTTGCAGGTGATTACAAGCAGCAGTGGATCCTTTCTGTTTCAGCAGGAAGTTAAAGCATTAAATAGAGTGGGAATACTTCCTTGTTGTGACAGTAACTGTCATAGTCAGGGTGGAATTTTTTGTCCACTTCACACAAATTGAGTTAGTTCAAAGAGGAGATTTGCGTGTGCTGAAGCAATACCAGCCGATAAGTTCCTAGCATCAAAGCAAATATGAGGAACAAGCTGCAGTGAACTGCCTTTGTACTCTTCAGGCCTCATCAACCAGGTGTCATTACTGCAAGTATTTGTCAGACTGGAGCCACTAAACACTTTCTCCTCTTTAATGCAACCTTTGGGATCAAAGAGTACAAAGGTAGGAGCAAACGGAAAGAGGCGCCTTGCATGTTTCAGGAAGTCAGCAGTGTGTTAACTATTACATAATAGAGCTCGACAGGATGTGCGCCAACGGTCCTCTTAAACAAGAAGAAAACCAGAAAGCCATCTGCACCATATATTCAGAACTGCAACTGATGATTGATGTCACTTGCCCTTTATACCCCAGTCACACACACCTATACACAGTTCACAACCTCTGTTTCCACCTGTGTGCCCCTCAGCCCCTCTATGCTGGCAGCCTTGGCAATTTCTAAGGTCTGGTGGGTGTTGGTGACCACTTGACCCCGCTGTTACACAACACACACCTCCAGCTCCAGCCTCGTCACAGTGTGTACGTGTCTGTGCGCTTGTGTTTGCCTGAGCGAGTGGGCGTGTGTACGTCAGACTCTTCCTGAGAATGAGTGTAAAAATTGTTTTCTTTCTTTCTTTTTATTCTTTTTTTTTTGACTGTGCAGCTGAAGGGCTGGCCGGCTGAGCCGCTCACTTATTGTCTGCTGCAAATAATCCTAACGTGAGCGTCACTGCCGGAAAGAGTTTATTCAAATGGTGCGCATGGAGAGCTACGAGGCTGATTTGACTCTGGGCAGTGGAAGCGCACAAATATATTCTCAACCCCTTGCCCTTTAAAAAGATAAACACACAATCGGCGAGCAGAGCTTTTGCACGCACATACAAAGCAGCTGAAGCCAAGTGCCTGCTTCTCAGCTGACTCAGTCCAAAGGACATGCAGACTGTCATTACATAACATGGAAATGGTCCGGCCTGTGTTGTTCTGACATAATAAGGGCTGGCTAATGTTTGGTTAAACACTGACAGAGAGCAGACTCAAACAGCACGAGTCACATGGCGATTCAGAGAAACACTACGGCGTGGTCCTAACACACAGCTATTCCAGTGACAGGTTATTCTGGTTCACTGTGTCAATAGGTAACTATACAGTAAATGTGGAGCTGCAGCCTCAGGCCACAGCCTACATTTCTCTGGCCTTGTTTCACACTTGCATACGACTGACCTGAATGCATGTGTCTGGTCCAAAATGAGGTGAATGCGCCGCCTCAGTTTGTTATACTCAAAGCAGTTGCAGCTGTCGTCACCCCTTTGACCCAAAATGGTTTCTCCCAACTAGGTCAGCTGGTGCACTTTGCCTGATTAGCAGTAAATCACCTCGCTTTCAGGGCTCTTGCCCTCTGACCTCTAACAGTGAGTAATTTAACCAAGCCAATACTGATGGAAGGGAGGTTGGGTCTCATTGCACTCCTGAGGCTTTGCTGGCAGTGGGCTGCTGTGACTAATTTACTACTCGCCACTGATGGCTTTCCATCATCACGTTAGTGGTGGGAGAAACTAACTAAGTAGGTTCTCTAGTGGTCATAATTGTGTTTTACTGCAGGGTATGAGGTGTGTCCACAAACACATACAGAGGGCTCAGCCTGTCCACTGAGCGGCTGGTTTGGATCATCTAGCTCAGAGAGTGACAGAGACTGTATCAAAATATGACTCCTATTGCTTTACATATGTAAACTGAGGACTTTACAATCATCCAAAAATGGCTTTTATCAATTGTTGGGACAGTTTATGTTCACATAAGCTAAAAGAAAATCAGCAAATTCAGGAAGCAGAATTGATTAACGAGCGTCATGACAGTTTCAACAGTACCTAACTCTAACCGTTCAATGTTTTCACCTCCACCCTTTTGCTAGTAAACCATCTCCTCTGATAACTTTTACATTTATTTCCATTACATAACCAAATTATCATGAATGAATGCTCTCCAAAATGTTGTCAAGACAACCAAGTTGTGCAGCACTGAAACCAGATCGGCTGCTCTCAGGAGCCAGAGAGCACAGTGAGCCACCTGATACAACCGTGACCCCGTCGTTCATCTCATCAGCGTCAGGAGGGCACCGTGACAAAACAGTGGCTCTGTTCAAGCATGAAACGATTCTCTCCTTAGTTCCTTTTGTTCATCATAACTTCCACCCCCCTCAAAAGAAATTACTTAACTACACCATAAAGCTCATTTTATTCTCATTACCCCCTTATCACCTAAATTCAAACTTGATTAGTTACGAGTTTACAAAAAACAACACGTCCACCATGTCTAGATATGCCACGTCTCCCTTCTGCTTATCACGGGTTATACAGCTTACCTCTTACATAAGCTAACAGGGCAGTACACAAATAAAACTTGTGCTTTTGTTTCACGATGGCAACGCGCCAAAAGAGAAAAGGTAAGGTTTATTCAGGACTGTAATCTAGCTCAACTAGTTTCTCTGCAATTTGTGCATTCATGCAACAGGCGAGCCGTCAGCCTTAGTTCGTAACTGTAGGTTTCTTAATCCACCAGAAAGGCGCGTGATGTGAGCCTGTTTAATGTGCATCTGACCTACGTCGGGCCCATCCATATGCAGAAGGGATCCTGCTTCTCACAGGTCTGCAGTGCGGCTTCACCGATAAACCCGAGGATTCCACTGAATCGCGCTCAATAATTCACCTGATAAAAAGTTGAGGTCCAGCTTCACCTGTCTACATACGCGCTGCTTTTCTTTTGATCGCCCACTCATGCATGTAAGCAGGCTCATAAAAGAGGACCAACGAACACGTCACACCACATCACCAGAGATTCACCTACTACAATTTTAAAATCCTGATAGTCACTCTGAGAGCATTCACCTTAGATCTGGAACTTTAAAAAATGTACCTTCTTTCAAAAAGGTTTCAGATTATGTTACAGGTTGCAGGACCTGAACTGGCACTGAACTAATTTAAAGACTTCCTCAGTGTGGGAGGGCATGGGGTGGCGTGAATTGATATTTTCATGGATTGAAGAACACAAACACACAGAGAGATTTGATTTCTTTTTTTTTACCTGTTCTTTTCCATTTCATTGTGTGTAGACCTGCAGAGATAAAACAAAACACATATGAAAAATCAGACATAATAAAAAAGCCACTGATTAAAATGAAAAAAGCTAAGGCTTCCCCTTCTCCACATGCACCGCAATCCAGGCAGAGGAGGGAGCACGAGAGAAAGGGTTGTGTGGGAGTCTGTGAACAGCCGGAGCTGCTTACAAAATAAGATTCAAAGAGGGAAAAAAGACAGAAAAAAAATGAAGAAAAGCCTGGGTGTTCTTATGCCTGAGGCCTGTTTCATGGTGGAAGCTTTTTTTAAGGACCACACTCGTACACAGATACGTGATGAGGAGGCCCGACGGTAAACATAGTAACAGTAACCAGAAACAGGAGTAGATGGGACTCTGTCCCTTCATATTGCCTGATTATCCATTGTACATGCAGAGTGGGGGTGGGGGGAACACAGTGAAGGTAAAATGAGAGATAGAGGTGTGCTCGCGGCCAGCATGACTCTGTCATTGCAGTATTAAAACATCTCTCTATCTGTAACACACACACACACACGTACACACACACACACACAGAAATGGGGTCAAGTGTAGGGTTTGGTAGAAATGTGTCTGACCTGTGAGAGAAAGGATAAACAGGAGAGCAGGTCACGAGCAGAGAAGAAGATCCCCTCTACATTCTTGAACGCTACTCAACCTCCACCTGAACCCCACCATCCACCCCCATGCTGAATCCCAAAATAGCCTCTACATTTTTCCAGCTCTGCAAACTAATGCACTGTCCTGCCTACACACATACACACAAACACAACCTCAAAGGTGCCCCCTCGTGTGTAATCTCAGTTGCTGGGCCAAACCTGGGTTTAAAGCTCGGGGTTGACCATATTTTCACTGTGTCGCAGCGTGTCACTGCAGCATGTGTGTGGCTGTCTTTCTGCCACTCGCTTTGGGTGTTCTCTCTGTCACTTGGCCCCCTCTAGCCAGTGTACATTCCTGTATGGGGCAGACAGCCGCTAGTGACATAACAGAGCTGACAGGGAAGTGATCCCACTCACTGAGGCTAGATTTCAGGCTCTGAGACACCTCATAGCTCTCTGCTACTTTACCAAACACACCTATGCCACCACAATGCAGAAGCAATATTTAAGATGACATGCTATGCTAATTTCCAACTCCATCACTGTTCTAGTTACTTAAAGTACAGTCATATGAAAAAGAAGGTTTCCACAGGAGAAAACTAAATACACACATTTTCTGCTTGCATAGGAACTAAGATCTTAAACAGCAGCCAGGTGCTGCTAATTAAATGCATTTGTTTAACTGATCATCTCCAAGTGTGAGCACCTCTATAAAAGCTGAGGTTTTTGCAGTTTGCTGGGCTGGAGCACTCAGGTGTGTGTTAACACAGGGCCACAATCTTTCGAAGAGTAGATGGCCCAGCAAATTCCCTCTGTGCAGTGCTCAGAGAAACTACTGGCCTCAGTTAGTATGTTAAATATTAAAGTTCATAACAGTACAGTTCAAAAAAGAATGAACATATGGTTGATTTGGAAAGACTGATAGGAGAAAGTCTCTCCTCTCCCCTAAAAGAACATAGGAGCACAGTTTAGGGTCCCAAAGTTGCACCTGAACAAACCCAAACAATTTTGAAACAATGTCCTTTAGACAGATGAGACCAAATTGGAGATGTTTGGCTATACTACACAGTGCCAGCCCAAAGACCACATATTAACTTATAGAGGGGTGCTGACTTGGACTTATGTTGCAGGCACAGGATTTGGACACCTTACAATCACTCAGTCAACCATGAATTTCTCTGTATAATAAAGTATTGTGAATTATAATGTGAGGCCATCTGTCTGACAGATAAAGCTTGGCTCAAACAAAACGACTAAAAAGAAAATAATTAAGATTCTGCAGTGTCAAAGTTCAGATCTCAACCTTACTGAAATGCTGTGGTGCAATCTTAAGTGAGAAGTGCATCAAAAATACCTGCAAACCCAATGAACTGAACCAATGCTGTCAAGACGAGTAGGTCAAAATTCCTCAACAATGATGTGAGAGACAGATAAAGTCATAAGGAGACAGCTACTTCGAGGTATTGCTTAAAGGTGGTTCTACAAGCTTCTGAATCTTGGGAAAGTACTTTTTTGTCACAGAACTATACAGAGCCTTGTGACAGACAGGCTTGTGGGTCAACCTCAACATTTGTTTTTGGAGAGGAAATCACTGACCAAAAATAGAGAAAACACACAACAAACAAGTCTCACTAAATGAGCTACTGTCACCTCAGAGGTCCTCAGAAGGTTAAATACTGGATCACAGAGTTGCTGCCAAACGATTCACCAGCGCACTTTTCTTTCAGCTGCATCAGCCTGAACAACGGATGAACGCGTGATGACCACCGAAAGGCACCAGTTGACTGCAGAATGATTATGGCAAGCTCCTCGTGTAATTTCCACAGTGCACTGTAGTTGCGTATTGTATGAATGTGTGTGTTTGTGAGTGAGGAGGGGGAGGACTCTTTCTCCTTGTCTGTAATGGAGGCGCTGCTGTTCTCCACTGACGGCCAAAAGTGAGAGCAGAGCAGGAAAGACACAGAAGGATGGAGGAGGTGAGGAGAGAGAAATGCGAGAGGGAGACAGAGAGAGAAATGAGGGGGAGGGTGGACTCCTTACTACTGACACACATGCACACGTCCACGCCAGAAACATGGCGAGTCCCCTCCCCCACTACTACTACTCACACATCTACGCTTCGGGGGAAATGGCAGAAACCGGAGGGGCATATGTATAAATTCAAATATAAATGCCTGCCCTATATTTGACCAGAATCAGCAGCAGAAACAACAAAAATCTGATCAAATAACACCAATTAATTGATTTGATCTTTTCCAGCAGAGATCAACCCAGGTTATTCTGTACTGTTAATCACCAAGAGACAATGTCAGATCCGACTACATCAAATCATCGTTGCAGAGATACCCTTATTAATGCCGTGTGATTCTGCTGCCCTTAAATAGCAATGAGTAATAGCTGAAAAAATGCTTCAGAACTGGAAATGGAAAAAGGAAAGGCTGGTGAACGAAAAGTTGTATTTTGGTTGTTTTGGGTTTTTTTTTTACCAGAAATAGCAACAAACTAAGTAAGTCTACACATGCTAGGACATGATCTGAGTTAGAAGCACGTCTTTTCAATACTCTACACCCTGTGTTTTTGAAATCACAGCAGAAATGGTAGCACACTCCAAATTTGTCCCAGTCACTTTTGTCGAAATCAACTGATATACTGCTCGATGTAATGAATAAGCAGTTGTTTCCTTTAATAAAGAGGACCAATGCTGTATATTTTCAGCTTCATATATTTATTTCTAGACCAGAGGAGCTTTGCATAATTTACAGTTCAAAATAATGGTCACATATCTCTCCTAATGGGCCTTGGTGCCGCCGTTCAGTTCACAATCCACGCGAAAGAAGCTGCTTTAGCTCCCCTACCCCACAACTTTCTTGTGATTGCCCCACATGAAGAGAAGGTTTGCAGAGGAGATGGGTGGGGCTTCTGAGATCACAATCAGACTTGATTGTGTCAGAGACAAACATTAACTCTCATTGACATCATACACAGCTGTGAATATAAAAAAAGGTCCTAAATTCATATTTATCTTATAGCAGGCCTTAGTGCAGCTCCATCACTTCACTAACTGTGAAACAAGCCGTTTTTAGCTCTTCTCCTTTAACACCACAATTCTCTGAACTAAGCTTTCCTCCGATTAACTGTCCCTCATAAAGACATTGACTGATGAGCAGATTGGTGAAGCTTCTATGCTCACAACCAGAGCTGCATACACGCTCTGACATGATAAAGATCCCAGAGTAGAAAAAAACTGTCTGAAGCCTGAGTAATTGGCTTTCTGGGATTACTGGGACATACTCAGATGTCATTATTTAAACCTTTGACCATATTTAGTATGAACATCATAACTGTATAGATAAGACAGGAAATGTATATTTCAGACATGATGCTGGTTTCTATAAGTTGGCTAAACTGTTTTCTTTTGACTACACTTGAATTCTTGGCCACAAAGTTATTAGATTAACCATCCAGAGTCAGGCTGGTCAGCTTTATGAGTCACAAGATGCACCTCAACTTCTTCCAAATTCATTTCCTCTATTGCACATTTAATTTTCCCTCTTTTATTGTTTACTTTTAGTTACGTCAGCCACTTACAGAAAACCGCACAATGTTTTTTTTTTTTAAGTATACCAGTGATCAGGAATAACAGGAAAATGTCTAGATTTCTATCAAATCAGAGGCAGATGTAACTGCTACAAAAACCATACATTTACAGGAGTAGAAAAGAGTGTTGATAGTCCAGAAAATATACCTACAATCCTACATCAGATGAGTCCTACACAAAGCAGATTATGCACCCCAGCATATATTTTCTGCACTGGCGGATGAACAATGGATGGATGAACAGTGTACCCTCATGGCAATACACCTGATACACCTGTTTGACCAACAAAGCATGTCTCTGAAATATTTTTAGAGGTATTATGAAACTCTTCTGTAACTGTAGCATCGAAACTTTTTATTGCAGCTTCATGCAATATGAACCATCAAGCACTTTAAAATATTTATATTAATTACTGGATCTGTGCAAACAGCTGGTGGTGCTCTCATCAGTTGCTTCTTTGATCTGCTGCTTTTTTTTTAATGTTTGAATGAAAAGAAGGCACATAAAGGTTGGGATCAACAATATGTCAGTTTTGTGTTTACTGAAGGACAGAAGCAGGTGCCTAGATGTCACTGTTTTATCTCAAAGATCAGTTTCCAACAGCCTTTAATTTACTTCATCCTCTCTGTTGACACAATCACCTGCAGTAGTTTAAACCTGCCTTTTTTGTGTAAAGTTTGTACACACAGGAGATAACTTCCTACACAGGATCATGACAGCAAACTTGAGTCCAATCGCAGAGTGCAAATTGATCTATGGATTGCGGAGGCAACACAAATCTGTCCTCATACCATTGATTTACGGAATTCAGGTTAGAGACTCTAAATTGACTAGTGTCCACTTAGAAGACAAGCGCAGCCCGGACTCACCACCACCGGACTCACTTAAATGTCTTCTGCATCACCTTGACTGACCCACTTTTCCTTACTGTGGGGTCATTGACTTTAAGCCAGGATGACGTTTGTATCTGTCACTCATATACTTTAAAGAACACATGGGGAAGACTAAACGTAATCTTAACCTAACAGACTCACACATACGTGTGACATCAGAGGACCTTTTCTGCAGTGTTATATATGAATTAGCCATTAGACTCTGAATTACAAAATATTACTTGGTAGCAACACCTAAAGTGGCCTATGCATACAGCATGTCAGTGCTGTTGACAGATTATGGAGCGCTTCTAAAGCCCTGTCCACATATAAGGTGAGCTGATGGGTGGACACCAGCAGATATTTCAGGTTCTGGTTGCATAGGTTATCCTCTTGCACATGTGCCACCCTGTCATATGTCAGTCAACACAATCCTTTACCACCATTGGTAGATGCTTTTCCATCAATACTTCACTGACAGATAAGGCATAGTCTGCACATCATGTAAATGTTAACTCAGCCTACGTACAGTAAATCTTTTTCATACAAGCTATGGATTGAACATGTACGCATGTGCCTGTGCCATGGGTTGCATGGCACAGGGTGCATGGCATGGGGTGCATGGCACAGGCACCCCATGGCAACCTCATATAATAGGTTATTTATTATATAATACTGTTTATCAGAATTTTTTTCTCTGCAAATATTTCGAATCAAATAAATAACTAAACAATGCAATCAGCTGCTACTCCAGTAAGTCTTTAATCCTATGTACCGACTCAACCTCCACCGACTCAGTATGCAGCTAGTGAGACTAGCTCTTGCTCTTCTATGCAGCGTCAGTGAGCTGAACCAGTGCTGCAGATTCTGCTTAGAGAGGTCTTCCATCTCCAAGTGAAACTTCAGGGTAGAGGGACAACTGTAGTCACTCGCTGTACACGGTGGAGTTGGAGCCTGTCCAACCCTGGGAGAGATCCTCTCTGGGGAAGCATGGGGATCACTAAAACTGCAAAATAACTTGAAAGCTAGCTGGTAAACCAACATGAGGCAGTAAGGGTCACCTGGTTACCAATGACTAAACATTCATGATAAGAACACTGTCCATTAGTAAACTGACTGCAGACAGTGTTATTCTATGAGAAAATAAGAAAATAAATGCTGATATTTTCACTATATTAGGTATACTAAAAACTGAACACGTAAAACACATACGTGAAAAATACTATTATAAGTATTGTGGTATTTTGTGTTGGTTGAAGAAACAAAGATGCAACAGGCAGGCGGTAATTCTAACAGTTAAAACATTAGCTGACATCAGCTGTGCTCTCACTGTGGCAGTCAGTGATAAAAAGATAATAGTTTAATTCATAATCCTATGTTCTATTCTTCATCAACATCGTAAAGTGTGCAGGAATGACTGAAATGCAGATATGGTGATCAGAAGCTAACCGTATCTATAGCTTACAGTGGAAGATCAGAGAGCTGACTTATTTTCTGTAACAATCCGAAAGCTTCTACGAATAAGCTCTCAGCAAAATACATGATCAGATACATACAAATACAATTTTGTTTGCAGATATATTACGTAAAAAGCATTAACATGTTATTTTGATTATAAAATTGGCCTAGCCTGTCTGTCTTTTCTTTGCAGTTAGATTGGTGTTTGTAACAGTGTGTCTGACCCGGTCACTATTTGATGTCAAAACAACAAGGTAGTGTCTCGCAGTCATAACCCTTTTCAAAGCTTTGGATGTTTGATTGTGACCATGTTTGGCCAAGAGCACAAAGTCGCTGTTTCAACAGCGTTGCTGTGAATATAACAAATTATGCAAATAGGGATAAGGCTGCTATCTCTGAACTCACTGCACTTCCTGCCATTTTAAATTTGGGCAGTTAGCGTGTCCACCTGGAAGCACAGTACAGAAATGCATATAAAAAAAAATTTTTTTAAATGAAAAAGCAAGCCTCACATCACAAGCACCAAATAAGGATTTTGACTTGAAACACAAACACTAGTGTGATGAAGACTGGCTTAATCCTCCAAGAAGTGAGGAGGGGAAGAGGAGGGGGGGGGGGGGGGGCTCTGGGGGGACCCCTGAAGTGGGGATGTGATGGGCGACTTGTTGCAACCAATCAGGCATGTACAGTTTTGCCTTTACCTGCTACTTGTGTTTTTCTTGCTTTTGCTTTTCCTTTTCAAACTTTCCCTCTCCCAGCTGCTGATGAATGGCGGCATGGAGGCATAGCCATGTTCAGCTTCTGCAAGCAAGTAAACAACATAGTGGTCACATGTCCTGAAATCCTGCAATGGAAAATATAGCCACAGTGAACAGAAGGAGAGACTGCACAATGTGTCACATTTCAGCTTTAGCTTTTGGCATCCCGCAGCAATGTCTTATGCTTTTTAGCAGGCATGCGGGGAATGGGTCTCAAGTAGTATCTTTTAGCCCTTTCCCCCTTCCTCGGGATGGACAATGATGTCATCTTGAACTGGAATAAACCCCACTAGCAAACCACAACAGAAGGAAAGGAGGGGCGTCCACGAAAACAATGTCTCCCTGCACATCTGCCACATATGCATTCATTCTTTCATTATCGCGAATGCAAATGCCCGTTTGTCTTTACACGTATGCATTATGCGCCTGTAATCACATATTTATTAGCACCTGTTTGGGGCAGGTGATGCAGCCTGCTGAATCGATGCGTGAAATTCGACATTTATGAATTTATTTCATGACCTGATTGTTTGATGTAATAAGAACAATAATGGAAAGCAACAGGATTTGGGAATGCATCAAACGACGTGTGCTTAAATCCGAGTGATTCGGAGGGGAAGGGGTGTTAATGTTATATTGCACAGAGTGAATAAGAAAAGAGTAGAAAAGAATACAATAATACTTTACCTCGTTCCCTGCGATCAAGGTACTCGGCTGCTTCGATCAACATCTGCACCATTCCGATCGCCGCCATTTTAAACAATAACACTGATAATTTAACAATCCGAAAAGGAATTCCGTGGCTGTACACAGGCTGCTTCAGGGTCCTGCTTCTTTTTCACACTTGGGTAGCTCGCTGTTCTGTCAGTTATTATTTTTAAAGAGCCAGAGAGAGCGCGTTACAGAGTTGGTCCTTCACTGTTAAAGGCCTTGAATGCAGCACCAGTCAGTTCGAAAAGCCAAACTTCCTCTGTGGTTGTTAAATTAAGGATATGGTGTTAGCTGGCTAGTAAGGGCTGACACTAATAACACTTCTTCAGGAGGAGCTAAGGTTACTTTGTTCCCTTTTAAGTCAAAATGCCAGCTAAATATCGTCAGCTTTATAGTTGGCTCTTCGAGAAAAGACGGCTTGTTGACAAAAACAAAACGAAAGGCTGTGTGACATACAAAAATAATTCCCGAATTGCTCTATTTGGCGAAAAAAAGGCTGGCTAACGTTAGCGCCAATGTTAAGCTGTCAAATTAAATATGGAAAGTTCTTGCTATCTCGGTTGTATTTGGAAAAGCTTCGGCCAGTGAAAAAAGAACGTTAGCATGTACAGTTGCTAGACACTTGCCTTGTGAAAATTATATATATATATAAAAGAGCTAGCTGTTTTAAAGTTCAGCCGACGATGTCATCCAACCTTATCGGTTCAGAGCTATGGCTGGTTAGTTTTGCGCCGGTTTAACGCGCGATACGTCTCGCTGGAAACGCAGATAGCGACTGACATCAACTGAAGAAGAGTGACTGTTTGTCAAACAGCTTCCAAAATAGTGGCTTGTTGATCTGGACACCAGCTCTCTACTGTACTGTACAAAGATTCTGGGTGCTGCAATGTGATTGGATACTGAGTATAACCTCTCAAGCTCCTATTCGGCGTTAAAACCGTCAATTGCAGAGAGGGTTCAGCGCTTACTTCAACTGTGGACCTTAAGCAGCCATTTTGGTTCTAATTAACATCGGCTGAAACACACCGTGTACAGCCACAATGGAGACAGTTTCTGCGCTATACACTCCTACACAGTAATTGGTTGTTTTTTTTCTATGAACTTGACAGCTATTGGCCCTAGTGGGCACGAGCCTATCTGACAACGCCCGCTTTTGACAATCAACACGCCTCTCTGCCATGCTGTTTCTCGGTGTATGGCAGCGATTGGCTCCCGTTGTGTCATTTAATAAATTTTGTGATACATGATTGGTCCAATTCACATGACCTCTTATCATTGGTCTCTTTCTTCTCCGTCACAAACTATCTGCACGCATGCGCCCGCTTGTTGCTTTCTGATCCATAATGGCTTTAAAAGGCTCGGCGCTAGATTGGATCTGCCGGAGGGATGCTCGGTTATGATTGGTAGTTGGGGTAAGGACAAGTACAGCGATTGGTTATTTTGGTGGGTCGGTTCTGTCAGACAGCACAGCTGATCCAATCTAGTATGAAACATTTAAACGCTTGCTTCAAAATGAGAGGGATCATTATTTTAGAGCACGATAAACCCTGGACTTGAACAAATACCACCCCAGGAAAGGTTTCTTAGCAGCCTTTACGTAGGACTGAATTTAAACCTGGATTTGAAACAATCCTATAGGATACATTTCTCAGAGAACACCAAATGAGATTATGCTATATTTAAACTAGAAAGAAACGCAAGCATTCACAGGAATAACCAATCTGATCCTATTCAATCCTTAAAAGGGACAATGAATAATGTCATATTTAGCCATTATTTCAAAAGAAACCGTGTTCCTGCACAACCTAGCGGATGGATATTTAATTAGTGCATAAGCATTTTAATAAATTAATTTTCATAATCAGGACAGAAAGCATGTTTTTTTTAATGCTTTTATTTCAAATAAATCATCCATGTCAGCAATATTAAGCTCAGTCTCACCCAGCTGTGAGTACATCTTGCAGGTACTACTATTTACATGTATGCATTTGCTTATAAAAAGGTATATACACGACTGTTAAATCACACAAAACACGTAAGATATTGAACATGCCATCTATTTTCATAAGGGTGGGGGGAAGGGAGGGTACACACAGGTAAACTTATTGGGGAACATTGGAGTTGATGATACTTTCAAGCAATGAAGTCCAGCGGCCTGTTAAATCCACCCTTTCTGTTCATGTACTGCCTGTAAAATAAATATATAAGAAAACATTATATCACTGTTTCCCTCCCAACACACACAGATTACATCATCGAGCACCAATGGGAGCGTTGGCATCTCTGCATAGAAACACCTGCGGAGGTGATTGGCTACTTTAACAGTGATAGATGCTGAGAGTGCACACTGTGAAGAGGGGGGGCAGAAAAATTGACGTAACTCAGCAACACGACTAACAGCTGGGGCTCCAAAAGAAACTTTAAAAAGGATCTGTCACTAACAAAGGAAAGCTTATGAAATATCCAAAGAGACGTGCTGCACTGTACAGACACGGCACAACCAAACAACTACAAATGCTTGTTTCTGTTCAATGACCTACCTGTATTTTCTCTTCATGGTCACATTGACGGCATACGCGTTACTTGAGCCATCAGTCTTCTTCCCCTGTGTAAAAACAATGTTACTGCATGACATATCGCGAAACAAACTTTTAAAAAACATTCTTAGCTAAACATGACAGTGTACAGATGAAGCTGAATTGGGTCAAGCTCATGATAGCAGTTGGAATTCTCTAAATATGCATTTCACAGAACTGAAGGATTTTGATCAGTGGAAAACAGTTTTGTTAATAGGACACAAACCCAGTGGCCTGCCAGAGGAACCTCTTTATCAACAATAACACTGCTAGTGTTCAATGGACTGAGTTTTGAAGTGACCCTTTTCAACCCACTGTTTGCTCTTTGTGATTATATTAAGCTTACCAACTCTTATTGGATAAACAGTTTGCCCAACCATAACTATTAGCTTATAATTGCAACTATTCATCCACTTCTTGTAACTGCTACTCTTTATTTAGTGATTACTTTAAGTCTATCCACTTATTTTCCCCTTTTGATCATTTTCATAATAGACAGATTTCATACCATTTAGAATGTTAATCTATTCTTATAGCTAACAATTTGATTTGATTGAATCTTTATTTTTAATGTGCCTGTTATTCTGTTTTCTGTCAAGATGATCCCACATTGCTTCAATAATGTTGATGCTCGGCTATCTAACCGGGTGTGCTTTGGCAGTGTGACTGGGTCATGCTAAACAATGAAGCCCTTGCCAGTCACATGCTTCCCAGATGCTATTGCATGGTTGATTAAAATGATGGTACTTTTCTGTGTTCATACTGAACAGCACTGCTTGAAGTGCAGCCCCAAACCACAAAAAAGCCTCCACCCTCTGTTTTAGATTGCTGCAGACACTCAGTGTTGTACCTCTATCTTAACCTCCTGCATACATATTATGAAAAACTGAACCAAGAAACTCACATTTTGATTTATCATGTCTAAGACTTGTTACCACCGATTTTCAATTCAGTTCTTGTGTAATTTGGAACACTTCAGCCTTTTCTCCTTTTATTCTTCCTTAAGAATGGTTTCACCTTTCCACTAACACTATTTTTGATGAGGCTTCAGTGAACAGGAGATGACCACCGTAAGGGTCAGATGCTTCCCTGTGCCAGGTCATTGCTGGATTTGTTCCTACTTCAAAAGAATATTACTTTTAGATACTGTGACAGGCTATTAGCAACAAAAGTCCCTAAAGGGTTAGGGTTATAACACTGCTCGTTATAGAAGCAAAATAAATGAGAGCGGCTCAAGACTCTTGCACAGTACTGCAAACTTACATTAGCCATGGGGGGCTTGCTGTCATGTGAAAGCTGCTCTATTTGTACATGAATGTAGATTTATGTACAAACATTTCAGTATGTGTCAATTATGTCACTTTTTAACCGTTTTAAGCCCACCATAGAACCAAGTCCGCCTGAGCTTATCTTTACATTATTAGATGCTGTAGTGCCATTTTTGGAGCATTTCCAGTTGCTATACATCAATAAAATCATTATATCCTAAATTTAAATCATACGGATGCAATATGTCCATAGTAACTACATAAATACCAAAAATGTGCAATAAACTAAAAAAGAAACTGAAAATTGGTTTTTTTTTTTTACAAACTTTTCTAGTTACAGAAACTTCAGAGGTACATCCCTCAAAACTGTAAATGCAAAGTTTCACAAAATAGTTCCCAGCCACAGGAAATTTATTTTGAGTGTCTTTATAATTTCATTTTTGAGATACACTCATTTTTACAACCTGCAGCAAAAACGAAAATATAATAGGGATTTGAAAATAGTTATGCAAATTGGAGCGTGCACGCTCCCGTGGGTTTAAAAGGGTTGACAGATAAGCAGGGGGGAAAAAGAACCATAACTCAAAAACAACAGTATTCCCCTAAATAGAAAGAGTCAAGGGAAAAATGTGAAAAACGTCCCCTTTATTTAAACAAGGACAACCTGCTTTTTACAGCAGCTGCTCTAATCAATTTCATCAGTGCCAATGTGCTTTTGGAAGTTCCATTTCAATCCACTGAAATAAATGCAAACATACTGTGTGTGTGTGTGTGTGTGTGTGTGTGTAGTGAACTTTATTAGAAATAAACTGCACCCCCTTGTGGGTGCATAACACATAGAACAACTCTCACCTTGCTGGTATCAAAGTTCCCAAATCCCATAAGCTTCATCATCTCAATCTCCTCCTCCGTTTTGCCCTGCATGTCCTCCGCTATTTAAAAAATAGAAAAAAACATTGAATTTAGTCTCTGTTACTACAAAATGCCTGAAAAACTAAGATTCCTGCTTAATGTGCAAGTGTATAAATAATGTCTGATACCTGAGATCTGAATGGGCTTTGCTGTCTTTTCCTTTGAGTCTTTGCGCTCATCATCTCGTCTCTCCTTTTGTCTCGAAGGAGAGAGGGAGGAGGATCGATGACGTCGGGGAGACCTGCAAAAGGAGCACAGTGATGGCTGCAGGATGGGTTATCACATCTAATCAGAGCAAATAAGGCACTTTGTGGTGCTCTTGTTTTGTTTAAAAGAATCTCGACAAAAAGTTTGTTAACAAAGGGCAAAGAAAATCACAAGTGCACCACTACTCATCTGAAACAACACTTCTCTGTGATAGTAAACTGGAAACTGCCGTTTATTCAGTATATACTAACAATACTCATTCTGACCAAAATCTATCACAGCTCTGCATGGGTAAGGTCTCTAAAATAGTAAATGAGGTGGAAATATTAGTCTTGAAAACAAAGTTTCTCTAAACACAAAAACAAATACACCGACAAACAAAAATTCACCTTGAGCGTCTCCTGTGAGGAGACCGTGAGCGACTCCTGCGACGGTCCCGTTCCCGATCTCGAGAGCGATCCCGCTCCCTTCGTCTTCGCTCACGCTCTCTAGAAGTTGAGCGGGAACGTCTTCTTTCTGGAGGACGAAATGACATCATGGCATTAACTGAAGCGTCTTGAACAACAGACTGGCATCTATATACTGTAGCAGTCTTAAAAATCCAAACGTCAGCTATTTTCTTCTGTACTGTGTTGGATTTCTGCCATACCATATAAAATAAAACGTCTAAATGTCACATATAATTGGGAAAAACTGGTTGAAATTTAACAACTTTTTTTTTTTAGAAATAACTGTTTTGCTATTACTTCTGTAGGATGGAGTATTATGTATTTTCATAGGTACTGGTATCATGTCTGAAATTGGGCCAACCATAATCAGCACACAATTTCTTGCTACTTACCTTGGTTGTAGTAAAAAGCAAACCGAGTACAAGGTGCTAAATTAGTACCAGTTCATTTGCCATTTATAGTCAAAAGTACTGTACCATTTAGGAACCCACCAGACGTGACCATAGCATAGACTTTCACCTTTAATTTATAGGGTTTAATAAAAAAAATGTTGCATTAACTATTTAGCAAAAATTGAAATGACAGTGAGA